TTTTAAAAACGGGCCCGCATATTCAACGATCTCTTGCATATACCCTGGTAAGTACCGCGGCCACTGCCAGGACCCGCCGTGGACGCACGGCGTCTCCTTTTTAACGTACTCCAGCTAGATTCATGCCGCGTTTACCTCGCTGGTCCGTCGTTTTTAAAACGGGCCCGCATATTCAACGATCTCTTGCATATACCCTGGTAAGTACCGCGGCCACTGCCAGGACCCGCCGTGGACGCACGGCATCTCCTTTTTAACGTACTCCAGCTAGATTCACGCCGCGTTTACCTCGCTGGTCCGTCGTTTTTAAAACGGGCCCGCATATTCAACGATCTCTCGCATATACTCTGGTAAGTACCGCGGCCACTGCCAGGACCCGCCGCGGACGCATGGCGTCTCCTTTGTCACGTACTCCAGCTAGATCCACACACTCGCTACCTCGCTGGATTGTCGTTCTCGGGAATGGGCCCGCAAACGTCCATCCATCACTTGCATATATCCCGGTGAGTAACGAAATATTACGAGCACCGTTGCGCGCGGTCCTTTGCCACATACCCCTGTTACAACTACAACGCCGCTGCCTCCTTGGATAGACCGTTTCGGATATGGGCCCACACACATCCAACCACCACTTGCATATACCCTGGCAAGTACTGTACTTGGTATGAGGACCTGGCACGCACGTGCAGCAGCCCCTTCGTCACATACCCTACCTTCATCTACACCGTCGCTGCTTCGCTAGATGGTCGGCTTTGAGAACGGGCTCGCATACACCCAAATAGCCCTCGCATATACCCTGGCAAGTACTGCATTTGCTACGAGGAAACCCGGCGCACGCGCGGTGCTTCCTTCGCGGCATATTCCATCTACATCTACACCGCCACTACCTCCCTCTATCGTTCAGTTTAGTATGGGGCTCACATACATTCAATAAATCCAGGTATATACTCTTGTAAGCACTGCTATCAGGATACGTGGCGCCCGTGCAGCGATTCCGGCATTACATATTCCATCCACGTCTGCACTGCCGCTACCTCCATCTCCCTGTATCGTGTATTTTTTGTGTGGGCTCGCATCTGATCAATTCATCAATATACCCTTGTAAGCATTGTATTTCCTACCAGAACACACAGCGCGCGCTTAGCGATTCCTTCATAACATTTTTCATCTACTTCTACACTGCCACTACCTTCTGTATTGTCTGATTTCTGTGTGAGGCTTGCATACGTTTAATCACTCCCTGCATATACCCTGGCGTGCAGTGTGGCAACCGGTTGTTCTGCTTATCGGGAACACGCCAGAAATATACCTACCTAAATACCTGGTGAGCACTGCATTTTCTACTAGGACACGCAGCATGCGCAGATCGGTCCCTTCGTCACATATTCTAGCTATGCCCACCTGTTGCCATTTGCAGGGTCGTTACTTCGGTGATCAGGGGACACATCATCTCCGTCCTCTCGTACATACTGCGGTAGAAGCTACCGCTCGCTTCCAACACTTATCACTCATGCTCACCGGCCGCCTCCCGCAGATATCCCAGCTACCACCTACATCGCCGCCGTTCGTGTTATATCGTTGGTTACGTGAACGCGGTGTCAGTGGACGGAAGCGTCCGCTGCTGAAACTGACAACATAGGGCAGGAGTACATATCCAGTGGCGTGGGAGTTTGACACCCAGGCGCATAACCAGCGTGGCTCCACTGCGGACTCGCACACTGTTACTACCAACCCCTATCGACATGCAACCTCACTCTACCAACACCTCTGCCGAGCCGCCAATGGGTCAGCATAGCGATTGACCACCACTAGTAGCTTACTGAACCAACTCAGGGTATTCATGGCTGCCAGGCGACTTCATCGTCCCAGATAGCGCAGTGCAAGCTCCTGCACAAATGCTGTCTCCAGGGACCTGGAAGATGCGAGGGTCGGAGGTTACTACTAGGGACTGGGACGGTCTCATGCTATACATGGTGGATGGGCGGATGTGTTGTGCGGTATATGGGAAGGTTCGCGGTCCTATTGCGATGGGACGCCGATTTGCGGTCTATGCCGTAGAACAGAAGACTCGGCGTTTCCACGGTGTTCGCTGGTACCCCCGTGGCTTTCCAGAGGAGACAGAAGTCATGATCCCCTTGCACGCAACCAATCTGCGGTTCTGGCAGCGGGTGTGGATTGCGCTCACTGGTGGATGGAGGACTATTGACACCACAGAGGAGGAAGGCTTGGGGACAGCCTAGAGTGCTTCTTTTAGGGACGAACCCTCAAAGAATAGGGAGGGACCCTCAAGGAACAAGGGAGCACCCTCAAAGAAGGGGGAGAACCAGAAAATAGAGGGTACACCCTAGAAATTTGGGGTAACCACCCTAGTTTATGGCAATACAGAATAATAGGGTGGTACCCTGTTCTTTTTAAGGGTGCAACCCTCTTCTGAATTTGAAATTAGTAGTAGTATATAAGGAGGCTGCCCCTCTTGTCCAACTGTATGTACCTGACCCCCCACTGAATCACAGAGCTCTCAGCAGTCACAAAGCAGTGTGATTATTGAGAACTAGAGTGTATATCTGACTGAAGTACCTAAGAGTGAGGCTGAAATAGTTGAGGATTGGAACCTCATTATTCTCACCTACTCTGACTGTATCAAGCCGGACCTACACTACCCTAAAACAACTCCAGTAACAACTCATTTGACTTGAATCTATAGCCCCCTTCAAACTTGCACTGCGGACAGTGTCGACACTATCTTTACCCTGATAGCGTCACTCTTTCTGCTCTGACAGCGGGCGCCCATGTCTAAGACTATTGCATATATGCTGGTAAGAGCTGCACATATTTGTCATCCGATTACAGCTGCTACTCCATCTAAATATCCTAGCTGCGCCTACACCGCCGCCGCTCCCGTGGGTTGCACGTTCTGTGATGGATGTAGGCACCGTTTTCTTCGGCTCACACATAAACTAGTAAGATCTGCAGTTAAGTTTGAAAGGTCTCGCTCATGTGGAACGATCGCTTTGTTATCGCTTTGTTCAGATATCGCAGCTGCGTCTACATCGCCACAGTCTTCATTATATCGTTGGTTTCAATGAACACGGGGTGCACTAGCCTAAGACGATTGTACATATGCCGGTAAGGGCTGCAGTTGCTGCGGATATTCGTCACTCACATTCAGCTGTTAGTTTGTCCCGATATCCTACCCGCGTCTACGGCACCGCCGCCCCTACTCTAAGCTCGGTTACACATCGTCCCCGTCGCACTTGCACATACGGTGGTAAAATCTGCGTTTTCCTACAATGACTCGGCGCTCACGCTCAGTACATATCCGGCTCCATCTACATGCCGCCGTTTGTGCGTGACGTCGGTTCCGAAACGCGATCTGGCACCGTCTTGACTATACTTTTCCACCAGGTGCGTAGCGGTGTGTCGGCTTACGCGGTCCACAAAAGCCGCGAAACACTGGAATGTACGATGAGTGCACCACCTTTGGTAGGTAGATCTGTGATCGGCCGTTCAGCACAAATGCCGAAGTTCGCCGCCGCTGGGCGTTTCGCGGCTGTTTTGGAATTGGCGAGATGCAAATTAGCTTCTTGATGACGCGGCTCGCATTCGGGCATGACATTCCTCTAGATGGGTGATCTGTTCGAAGTCCGCAGTCTTGGGCGATGCTTGAGACTGGGTAGTCGGATGATGGCGCTTGACTATTTGTGAAGGAGGAACATCACCCAACGGGGGCTGACAGGAGATGGCGCGTCGGGCAGTGATTGAGGCGCACACGATGGTTGAGCAGCAGAGACAAATGATGGTGAGGGCATTGGTACAGGGTACTGCCGTGGAGGAGGACGCATGGTGGACCGATTGTCGTCGCGATCAGCGTTTCCAAGATCGTCTGACGAGCACTACAGTGGCACCGCTGTGATATATGACGTCAGCCCAATAACTTGCTCAGACGCGTCAACGACACTCCAGGAAGAACCTTTGTGCGCTCACATGGAACAGTCACCCAGGTCTCCGACTCCAAGTAAGTTGGTACTGCCATCAGGACTCCCCCTTCCGGATACTTATGTGCGTGCATACGAAGAATGCGCAAGCCGGGAAGCCAACAATGTCGTCTCTGGGATCCGAGGGCTTGCGACCGGGTTCGGTTGGAAGGGCATAGCGGCTTTGCGTGGATGTCCTGGTACGACTTTGCGTTTATATTCAGTTTTCACATGGCTTATTTGCTTCCGCTTTTGCAGCAAGATGAAGAAATGTATAGGCGCGCGCATGCGCTGCTTTCGCGATAGTTAGCACTATGTACGTGTTACATCGTCGTGGTTTCTTTTCCGACTGCGCTCTTCTAGTCACAAAGATGCGTCGCACTTGACAAGTCTATCTTATGCTGCCATCTATCTCATCAGACTACAAACCCAACCGTTACCTCGGGATACAAACTTCAACATCAGGAAGAATCTTTGTGTCCTCGCATAGAATAGTCACCCAGGTCTCGACTTCGACTCCAGGTCAGTCGGTGATAGCTACTGCCCTCAGGGGTCCCCCTTTCAGATACTTACATGTGTGCATATGAAGCATGCACAAAACGGGAAGCCAATGACGCCATCTCTGGGATCCGTGGGCTTGCGAGCGGGTTCGGTCAGAAGGGCATATCGGCTTGGCGTGTTTGTCTCAGTATGTCTTCGCGGTTGTTCATTTCGCATGGCTTATGTTCTGTGCTTTAGCCTTTGTAGCAAGGTGAAGGAACATAGGTGTGCGTGCGTGCGTCTGGCATTGGGTGAGATGAGAACTATGCTGGCATAGCATGCTGTGACATCGGACATCGCTGGTAGGATGCACTGGAATTGTGTGCACTTTTATCGGACTTCGCGACATGTGGAGATTGGACGAGGTGACTACCAGTAGATTGCAGCAATCGTACATTATGGTTAGTACATGTCGAAGAGGTTTAGTGTCGCTTTGCGTGCACGATCCTTGTTTGCGTGACTGCAAGCTATTTGACTCAATAAGCAAAACATGCGCACAAGTCGTTACACTTCAAGATTACAATATTTGTGTTTACACGCGAATCGATGTACATGCAATTATGGCGCAAGCATTCATGAAGACGGAAGCGCAACTGTATCCTGGGTTATCATGAACAGACGAATTAGAAAAGCATAAGGGACAACTCACGGTAGCATCTTGTTCCAAAATCTCATTCCCTTGAGCATCGGCGTTGTCGGGTATAGATGCGGTGGATGCAGAGGCAGTCTCATGATGTAACCGATGCTTGTCGAAGATCTTCCTGAGCTTCAAGGATATACCTTGAGGCGGAGCAGGTTCGGCGTAGGCAGAGAGAAAAAACTGAAGCCATAGATGAAGCGGCCAAAGGTCCACGTAGCGCCACAAGAAACGCCATCCTTTGGTACCAGCAACCTGGATATCCGTAAGCATTATATGCATAATGTAAGGCGATAACGTACCTCGCAGACCACTAATGCGATGGCGAATGTCGGCTGATCTTGATAAACACGGCCTATAACCAGTCTTTCAAACGCCAACTCTCGAAGGCGCGCCTACAACATCTATGAGCAAAAACTCGTGTGATGGCAGAAGTAGACGCTGACCTCGATTTTGGGCCATCTCGCCTTTAAGCGCGGCTCCAGCGAGAACATCTCACGCAAGGTGAGCTTACACCCGTCGGGTCTGCGATGTCTGGGTTTCTCGATGCAGCGGCATTTCTTAGCCATTGGGTGGGGGTGGAAAGCGAGAGTGGCAACAAACCGGCATTCAGTCGAGTAGCGATAGTCATCTAGACACGTGAGGGCTGCATCGTGGTCCGCTTCGTTCTTCGTTGACAGATGGAACAGATAAGGAGGGCTCATTTCCTGTGGCGAATACGGAGAATTACGGAGACGTGCTAAATCATTCCATATCGTCTTTGACACATGCCCACTCGGGAACTTCATGATCCTCTGCGGCGCTCTCGTCACTATCTTCATCTTTGGTGTCCGATTCATATTCATTGTCCCCATTTTCAACGTCTTCTGATCGATGCGAGGCTGATGAAGGTACACTATCAACGGCGGACGTTATGGATAACAAAAGACTGACCTTCAGGAGAAGCGTTTTTAGCGTATGTGTTCTCAAAAGGTATTGCAATGTCCGTCAAAGTCTGTGCTGCGATTGGGCGTTGCGTATCGGGAGTTGAAGACGCCGTGGACGACGGGTCTAGACGCCGGTTGAGTTTCGGGTCCTGGAATGGTACTGGCCCAACTCACCTTCGGCGGCTTATAAAAAGGAAATATTACACCCGTAAATTCATAACATCTACTAGAGAGGAGCACTCACGGAATGCGGCATTCGATGGCGGAGTATTTGCAGTGTCGAATTGTGGTATCCACTCGGCTCCAAGGTTGGATATCTTGAGTAATGGTAGCCACTGCGATGCAAACACTGTGCCAAGCTTAGTAAGTATGCGGGATTGACGGCATGCGTAAGCATCGAGTCCGCGCATAACGCAATGCTCTGTCATTCGCAGGTCCCGCCGTTCCTCCCACCAGGACGCCTTCGCCCGGAGATATGTTAACACACGTCTCATCTCCTCTACGAGCAATACGACCTCCTCCGTACATCTTCGCGATCGCGCCCTTTGCCTCGCCCATTCGCTGCGCATATGTTCATCAGCGTCACGGTCATCAGCTTCCGCAGACCTCCGTTCGGTGCCAGGCACGGTCCAGATCCATGACGGTGTCCTCCTACGTTCCGCTTCGTCTGATTGGTCGTCGCGGAAGGGCCCGCGGACATCATCGTCAGACAGGTGGCGATAGTACTTCGTCCAATCACCTGTTGGATCCAGAGTCTTGACGGCCGCGTGCGATGTCCGGTAGACGTTGACAGCTTGCTGTAGCTTCTTCGATACTGACTCGAGAAGCGTTCTGGACCGCGTCCCTTCTTTCTGGCCTAGGATTCTATGAGCAAGAATTCAACCACATGCCCGAGCTTCCATACCACCCAGCGAATGCTTCATTTTACGGCGTGCGGCAGTTCTGACGCAAAGAAAGTGCCGGACGTTGACCAAGCCATCCTTCATTCTTGCTGTGGCGTACTGTCTCTCCTTGTCGACAACGTCGCCGACGCACCCGGTATTGCGAAGCTCAAGAGTGTCAATGTCTGACGGCATCAGTAGCAACATATTTTCGGCTCGAGTCGCGCCGGACTCTTCGTCATTTTCCGCAAGCGGTGGAGAACGACGCGTGATAGCCACTGGCATGTAGGAATTCTGAACCTCGTACCAGCTCTGAATGCTCCGATGGAGCGCGGTGTGTCGCTCTTGTAACGTAGACATCGCGTTCTCGGTAGGGTTCACCTTCAATTGCTTTGCCTGATAACGGATGTTCCATCTGATCCGATGGGAAATATTAGCAAACATTGTATATGATATGGGAGCAACCCACTGCTGATTGCGTAGATAGAAACCTTGCCGAATGAACACATTCGTGGACGTCGGATGAAGCGTAGCAATTCCCTGACTGGCTTCTAGCGCGTCTTTGTCTGCGAACGCTTTCCGCAGCTGACTGACATTGATAGCTGAATTTCGAGTTAGTTGAGCACAAGTTCTCAGAAATGATGTTTTCTTACCGTGTTCGGGCTCGTCGTATGGATTTGGCTTGTTGTGATCAAGCTCCCAGTTGTGTATCATATCTTCCCACTGGCGAACAAGAGCAGGACTGAACCGCGCAGTGTACTCTTCGTAGATTCGTTGGTGTCGGGTACACTCATGCATCACGGAGATTAAGGCCTTATACAGAAACACGCCTATGATAGATCAGTACTGAATCAATGTAGTATTTGCGAACTGACCCAAACCGACGGTTTTCCTGAAGTTCCAGAAGCCCCAATGGTCGTTGAGCGTGTGGTGACGCGCACCGGGGCCCATGTCCCGCGTAATGGTCGAGACACCTCCAATATGCGCCCACTCCTGCTCGATCGTCTCTCCATGCGTGAGGCCCGTATATTCGTGAAGAAGGAAATTATAATCGGTCTGGCACTTTAGTTTGTGATCGCGGATATGCATACTCGGAATGAAAAACCGTATCCCAAGTGTTGTAAGTGACGCGAAGGTAGCAGGAAGAGAGGCGTGACGTTTCCAGAGATTCTGCTTCCATTGACACGTGATGTCATAACTGATAGCAATCGGAAGTATGCAACCGACGAGAAGAAGAGTTGACCACAGGATGTAGTCCATAGACACGTACCTGATAGTATTCAGTGTTTGCTCGAGAGATGACGGGAAGACACGCACTTCTCGCCTTTCTGTAAGTCAGCGACCCCGTTGCATCTGACGAACGCATGTCTTGCGCATTTAACGGCCCCGACGCCGCTCACGGACATGACACCGGGCTTGGAGTTGATCGAGTTCATGTGCCTGATCGCGTTGAACGTCGAGTCGCAGGGGATGGTCGTCTATCGGAAGTGTCAGTTCATGGTCGAGGTGCTCGACGTGCAAGGGTTGGAATTCTACCTCCTCGACCTCTACGTATGACTTGAGGTGCTGCTTGTATGGCTCTTCCGCTACACAGTATCCCCAGCCGCTTCCCAATTCCGGATCTTTGATTTTTCTATCCTTATTCTTCAGGCGGAAGCAAGCATCGAGTGCGAGGAATAACGTATAGATCCATCTACAGACCGTGCAACAGGTTAGCACTGCCGACATGGATGCATGTAGGACAACCTTTGTTCCTCGGGACATGTGTACCAGTCGTCTGGAATGTTCCAACCTGGTTGAGGACATGCGGGGCATGCGACGGTGAGGGCGCCGTTGGGCGTCTCACGTATACCAGACGGATCATGTCCACGAGCTGCTCGCTTGAGAGACATGAGATGTGACCATTGCCTCGTGGCTAATGTCGCCTCATGGTATCGTGACTGAGATACGACGGTGTATCAGCTTTTGTGGCTTGCAGATAAACATAGCTTACTATGAGATCGCGTATTCCAGCATTGTCTGTTTTGTGTACGACCGATAAGTAGTAGTCGTAAAGTGAAATCTTGCCCTGGAGCGTGATGCGGTGATATGTGTCGAGAAAAGAAAACGTAAACGCCGTGCGGGGCTGTTGACTAGAGGCCGGATACCATCCGACATCGAACAGTTGCTTCCAAGGCGGGATATATGAGCACACGCAGAATCGAATGTCGACTGAATGATAGCCATTAATGTCGAAGACGAGGAATGACTTGTGCGCCGGGTGAGTCCCACCGCACGCCTCGCCAAAAGAGTGACCTAGCCAGACTTCAAGCCCCAACTCTCGAAGTGAAGTCGGCCAGAAGCAATCGTGATCCCAGCGCTACATGATACATCAGAGAATACAATCGCAGAATTGCACGATCACTCACCTCAATGTTATGGAGCGGGAGCTTGCCATGAGCGGCGACCATGCAGTCTTTGCACATCATGCATCCTCCCAAGCAATCCTGACAGCGGTATTCCCCGAGTTTTGTTGACGAACGGCAAGTGACACACGGAATAGCGGTTTCAGTCGGTAAAGCTTCCTGGGTCAATAATACGTCGAGGAACTTGGCTCGCATTTCACGAATCCACTCCCGCATACGGTACTGTATTAAAGCTACGTTAGATCAACTTGAAGTGAAGTGAAGCAATTAAACCAACCGCTATCGTCTTTGTCGGCTGCTTCTTCTGTGTACGCTGCTTCTTGGTGGGCCCTGCATCCTTCGAGCCGTCGACACCCTCCAAACTGCCGGCTATCGCGTCTTGGTCTTCAGGTTTTGGCATATACGGTGTATGTTCATTCTGATTTGCGGGAGAGTCGTGGTGCGCCCGTTTTGCGTGTGTAATCGAAGAGCTGAGCCGTCCAGTTCGCTCAGATATCTTCAATGCGACATCTCTGGCAGTTACCAGGGCTGCTACCGGGGCTGCTCTTCCAAGGAACTTGGGTAACTGGGCCTTGCGGGGCATAGAGTGTTTACTGTTAACGCGGGCGGGGACGGTAGCATCGAGTGGAGGATGGTGAGTAACCAAAGACAATGTTCACGTGGCGGCCGTGCAGGTAAACGCCGCATTCTTTGCCCGAGGATTTCGTGGGGGAAAGGTTGGCAGAGCAGCGCCAAGGACATCGCATCAGATCTGGACAGCTTGATAAAGTTATGGTGAAGCCCGTCAGCGCTGACAAGTTGACCAGATCGCGATTTCCATCATGATTAGATCATGAATCTGGTGCTACTTCAAGATTACTCAGATTGCTCTCTCCCCTCTCCAACGGTTACTTACTGTACATCATCTACATATATACTGTGGGTAGCATAGAGCAGCAGCAATATGGCATATTTAAGGCAAATCCTAGACTGCGAGGCTCGGTGCGAATGGATGATCAGTGAACGCAGAGGTATCAGTGGAACCCGTCCCGACGTACATACCTACCTACCTTCATCTCCAAGTCCAGTTCAAGCTGTGGGTGGTGACGAGTACGGAAAGCAAGTGACATGATAGTGGTTAACATCGATGTTATGATCCAAATCGTTGCTCAGCAGATTCACCGCTTGCGATGTGGAGGGATTCGCAGATGTCTTCCTGTACACACATCGGAGGGATTAAGAACTCGTCTCGATCGTCTGGTAGAGTTGCACTATACGGTAGCACCATCTTCAGTTTGCGATGAGTATGCTCCAGCGAGACAACACAATATCAAGGTGAATGAACATATGATACCATTCATTTGGTCGGGAGATCACTTTCGTTGCATGTACTACCGAGACATTGCAGGGTCGACCGTGTATTTTCCATACTACGCGATTGCGCTTCACGAGGCTGGAGTAAGGGGGCCGTAGAATGTGAGGAGAGCACGTCGACGATGCGGTCAAGGCGCGCAACGGCCCAGTGCTTACTGTGGTCACTCTGCCTTTCTCCATCCATGCATGTCGTTTGCACTACTCGATGTGTGTTAGCTGGGATAACTAGTCATACACTGATGCACCCTCACGTACAGGACGAGGCTGAGAGACGGGATTCGTGGTTTCACTGGAGGCAGGCGCAACATACTGTGTAGCATGTATGGTAATGTCGAAGTTCTTCGAGAACTTACCTCATGCTGGCTTCATGCATCATGTCTAATGCTCATACACGGTCTGTTTCAATATTGTAAATAAGGCAGGCAGTCGCAGGATAGTGGTTCACATCGATGTTATGACCCAGAATGTTGCTCAGCAGATTCGCCGCTTGCGATGTGGGAGGATTCGCAGATGTCTTCCTGTACACACATCAGAGGGATCAAGAATATGTCTCGATCGTCAGTCTTGCGGCCCTTGGTCGAGTTGCGATATACGTTAACATCATCGACAATTTGCGATGAGTATGCTCAGGCAAGACAACACGATATCAAGGTGACTGAACATATGATACCATTCGATTAGTCGGGCGATCACTTTTGTGGCATGTACTGCCGAGACATCGTAGGATTGACCGTGTATGCCTCATACTACACGACTGCGCTTCACGAGGCTGAAGTAAGGGTGCCATAGGATGTAAGGAGAGCACGTCGATGATGCGGTCAAGGCGCTCGACATCCAAAGCTTGCCAATGACTCAGTATCATCGCTCTGCCCATGGATGTCACTAGCCGGATTCGCGGTCAATTCATCGATAGACATATTATAAATTACGTGCAGGCTAGGTTACACATTTTGTAGGGTTCCTATATGATACATGAGCGAGAGGAAGTGCGAGGAACCATGTAACCACGAGAGGAAAACGAAAATGGCCCAGTATTTAGGCAGCGAACATATTCTATGATGTGATCGACCACGACGTTTCCAGCCAATACAAGGACACCGTATCGATGGGCAAGAAATAGTACAAGATGCGTCGAGCGGTCGTTAGCAAAGCATCAATCACTATACGAACGATAAATCTCATGCTCATTGAAATCGACGGAACGGCTCACCGACGAGGGAGCGAAGCAGAACTACAATATATACAGGCGATAAGTCTCATGCTCAGGGAAAACAACGGATGGCTCACCGAGGAGCGCGCAAAGAACTACAATACGTGGGGTCAACGCGATATCACTCTAGCGGAGACGAGTCAATATCACGCGACGCTGTATTGTCAATGTGACGTGGACCATTTGGTCGTGGACGATAAATATGAGGAAAAAGACCAGATCCAGGCAGCGGCGCCATAGTACACGGTGACGTCGGGATCACACTTCGCGAGGGCGGATTGGGCAGCGACGGAGTAGAGGGGAGGGGCCGGAAAGCCGCGTAACGACCGATCGGGGATGCCTCATCTAGCATTTCATCCGCGGGGAACGGAGTCGGAGGAGGAGCGGGCGGGAAAGGGAAAGGCCATGCCGGCACGCTATATCGGGGGGAAGGCGTCACTGACTATAGTGTCAGCCGAATTCGAAAAACGAGAGAAAACTACGTACCAAGCCAAAGATGACACAGCGAGGCCAACGCGAGAAACACCGATTGGGGGGCCACCGGAGCGACGGAAGGTGTTTGCACTGCAGGTTCGGCTGAAGAGACTTGCACCCGCGACCTCGTCGGAAGCGTCTCCGCCATCTTGAGGATGGACTCGTATCCTCCTTCCTCCATCCTACAACGCAAAGAACATAATTGTTGAATATAACAGGCGCCATTGATTAAACTGACAGCTTACGTGGTATGGCAATATAAACTTGTGGGAGCACACCTGCAGTGTAAACATGAGAGTTGAACGACGGTAGAGAATCTCGGAACGAACAATGAAGAATGGGGGAAAGCGAAACTCTGCCGCAAGTCCTGGAGAGCGCCGCTTTTTAAGCTGGAGCGTGGGCGAAGGACAGACGCTTGCCGCAAGGCTGAACGCATGGCATCACGCGCAGACGATCGGGGTGATGAGAATCAGGGTAGAGCACTTAGGTACTTGAATGGGGCACAGAAATGTGGATTGCGGCGGGCATGCCTCGATCCGCAAGGGAGAAGAGCTGTGATTAGCAGTGGCTTCGCCCGTTAGAGCAAGACGTCTCACGGGACCCAGCAGGCGCAAAAACATGCTCCGGGAAATTCCACATGATTTCATACATTTGACAGCTCGCTTCCCATGTTTAGATGTGAAGGACGATGTCCCTCACAGGGAATATGTGTTTTCCAATGGACGATGAGAATGAGCTCGGAAGATCGAAGAAAAAGGACAAAGCAAGGCGGAGAGCGGTTATCTCCGATGTTTACGCTATGCAACAGTCTGACAGCGGAGAATTGGTGGCAGGAATCAGCGGGCAGGCGGAACTGCTTAATGCCGCATCAGCGCCTCATGGTGCACCTCCGCGCGATCCGTGGAACTGACAGCAATCCTGTCCTGCATTGTCACCGCGGTGGAGATCCTGAATGAGCGTCGCGAACAATGACAGTTGCGACTCGCATCTTGCTTGAATCTATCAACCTGCGATCATAGACGCCGTGAAAATCAATACATACCTCGCAGATTCATTTTGGAAACTGCGGGAAATAGCAGAATCACACCAGACTGCATCGTTAATCCCTTGCGCACAATGCCGGTGACAAGGGTCGTCGAAGCTCAGCGGCACCTGTATCATTTTCCAAGGTCAATGTACCATCTCTGGGAGATGCCGCGACGCACCCAATAGCTGGGCCCCTGGAACCAGTACGAGCCTTGAGGAAATAGACTTGACGTCTTCCTTGGGAGTTGCCGTCGGTGTGAAACGGACCTTTGTTGTCGTGATCAGGGAAAGGGAATACACTACATACACGTATCGGCGATGTCTTGAGGTGTCGCCGCGGCGGAGGAGCGTCGCGGACAGTACCCGCAACTTGCATCTTGCCGAACCTAACTACACGCAATGGTCAACATAGGCATCACAGAAGTTATTACAGATCTCGCGGAGTCATCATGAAATTGGTGGAAGAGAGCGCAAACCGCATCCGACTGAATCGTCGAGTCCTTGCGCACGATTCCGGTGACAGGCGTGTTATCGAAGCATCAGGTCGTTGACACCAATGGTCCGCCTTCGAGAGATGCTGAAATGCAACTGATAAGCGGGATTACGATACATATACAAGCATCCAATGGATAGACCTTAACAACTTCCTTGTTAGTTGTTACTATCTTGATTACCACGATCGCGGCGAGGAGATGCACCGCACACGTGTGGACGATGTCTTGAGATGTCGTTGCGGCGGAGACAGTCTGAAGGAGCGTCATGAAAGATGGTATCTGCGACCCACATCTTGCCGAAGTCAACAACCCGCCACGATCGTTAAAATTGACTGCGTAGTTTGTAGTGACCTTCGCGACATCAATATGAAATCTGCGGAAGTTAGCGAAAACTGCAACCGACCGAATAGTCAATCCCTTGCGCACAATACCGTGGACACGAGGATCATTGAAGCATCTGGACGTCAACATCAGCACCTTTATCAATTTCGCAAGGTCAATTTAGTATCGGGAGATGCCGCCGTGCACCAGAAGGTCAAGTTCCTGATTCAAGCATCGATGATGAAGGCCAGCTTTTGGTGCATTTGGGGTTGAACAAATCACGGTCAATTCGGCCATGCAAGGATCGAGCTTTCGGGAAGGAATGAATATCACAGAGCATCCGATGGTCAAGCGACCGACCAAATCGATGATGGTTTTGGATCTGGCCAGGCATCAGTGTCACTACGACAAACTGCGCCGGGAAAATGCTGGAAGGGAGCGAATCATTGGGCTCATGGGCAACGACCTATCATCGAAGACAATCAGAGTGTGTCATCGTTTCAGAAAGACACAGAGATATTTTACAGACACCGACTTCGTTCCGCCGTCGATCGTGGTCTTGAGAGTTCGCCACGTTCGCCGGCATGACTTGGCGCACGCGATGTAATGCCGTCGTCCCTCCCGATGGCAGCTATCCTTGACGCAGCATCAGATCCAAACCAAACCGCAGGGAGGAGTGTGAGGTTGTACTCACGAAGACGGCGACTTCGTCGGCAGATGCAATGGTTTGTTGTGGTATTGCAATTGCAACGAACAAGTTGGAGCTGCAATTTATAGTATAAGAAGGATAGCAATAGACACGATATACTGCAATACCTTGCTGCCCAACCTCACTGCACACGAATCCGCCATGTCCCCGCCATCTCTCTGGACGGAGGAGGAGAGAGCGTATCTCTCCACCTTCTGCGTCGAATATGTTAATACTGGCAGCGACAAGAAAGCCTTCTACACGAACGTATGGGGCCTGTTTCTTCGCAAGTTCCCTGTGATGCCTACCGAGGACGAGATACTTGCGAACGGTGGAGATGTGACCAAGGCGTTCAAGTCAGCCGCTTGTGCTGAACGTCGTGCAAAGCGACTCGCGGTGCGTCATTGTTCTAGGACTGATACTGCACGATACTAATCAGACACTGATTCGGTTGATAGTCGGCAACTTACTGGTTCCAGAACAATGCAGCACGCATTGCTGCCTCGCTTGTACCGGGTCTTGCCGCCCCTGTACGCGTGCGAATGCTCGATCTCTCCAACAAAGAGAAGAGAAAGCCTCAGGTGCGCGCTCTTCTGCACACGATTATCTTCCTCCAGCGTTTAACATGTACATTAGCTCCCCCATGCATGGCTGCGCCTTTTCTACCATAAACCCGAGGTTCAGGCCGCGTTCAATGTAGAGTGGAAGAATGCGACCGACGCTGGGTGGTCGGTGAAGAGGCAGGCAGCGCTTCGCAACAAGTGGGCGACCGACCAGTACCATGCGGCAGACACCGAAACGAAGGCGCTGGTGGATGAGTACCATGAGAAAGGATACCTCAAGGATGACACGGAACGCTACATTGACGTTGAGGACGGCGACGACGACGACATGATTCGTGCGAAGCAAGTTCAAGAGTGAGTACGGCAGTCCTTGTTCATATATCCATCTGAGTTATCTCAGGTATCTCGATAATCTGCCGCACACGTTGCGACGCGTCGCGGAGAGCCTCCACAAGCAAACGGGATGGCATTTCAGTATTACCTGTGGAGGGCGCCTACCTCGTGCCGGCGGGGATGTCAATACTATGCAGTGAGTGGAAGCTGTGATACTCTAGCTACTGTATACTGATACTCTACAGTTTGTCCATTGGGAGGTGCAAGCAGGGATTGGAGTTTTCATCCTGGAACTCCGACCAAAAGACAGATGTTGCCAACTTTCGAAAGTTCTGCGAGGAAACTTGGTGTGAGTCGATTGATCTGGTAACTTAATACCAAATCTAACACAAGATGCCGATAGCAAAAGACGAATGTCTCGCGATGAGTCTTACTCGGACTCAACCAGTCACGGTGGCGCCCATCACTTCAACTTCGGCGTCGACACCTCACGATATCGACAACTCCGCGATCGATCCTGAACTGATGAACATGAACCTGATCAGCGATGGGGTATCCATAGATGGCATTAGCCCCGCGGCCATTGCCGCTGCAGCGTCTCTGGCAGAACCCCTTGGTTCCTCGACAGGCAAGGGTGCCCCTTCGAAGAAGCGTCGCAAGGCACAGAAAGTCGCCGCGAATCACAAAAAAGCGAAATCTCGTCGCGATGCATTGCTTCTCTCAGAAGCCGAGAGCTTCGCCTTCCCAGAATCTTCCTCGCCTCCCGTCGTGCCCCAAGCCGTGCCTCCTCCCGTCGCGTTTCAAGTCGTGCCTCCTCCCATCGCGTCTCAAGCCGTGCCTCCTCCAGTCGCGCCGCCTCCCGTCGCGCCCCAAGTCGCGCCCCCTCCTATCGCGCATCAAGCCGTGCCGCCTCCAGTCGCACCCCAAATCGTGCCTCCTCCCGTCGCGTCTCAAGCGGCGCCGCCTCCAGTCGCGCCGCAAGCCGCGCCTCCTCCCGTCGCGTCTCAAGCGGCGCCGCCTCCAGTCGCGCCGCAAGCCGCGCCTCATCCCGTCGCGTCTCAAGTCGCGCTGCCTCCCGTCGTGCCCCAAGCCACGCCGCCTCCCGTCGCGCCCCAAGTCGTGCCTCCTTCCGTCGCGCCTCAAGCCGTGCTTCCTCCCGTCGCGCCTCAAGCTGCACCACCTCCAGTTGCCCTCGCAGCCGCTCTGCATCCAGTCCCCCTCACAGTCTCTCCGCCTTCCGTGATGCCCCCTGCAGCAGCGCCATCCTCGGTTATGCCATCCATCGCAGTGATACGAAAACGGCCTGGCTCATCCCCAGCACCTAGTGATGGATTGGTTCACCTGGACACGGATGACGAGGAGGGGAAAGAGGATGAGGGGCCAATTGGTGTTAGCATGGACGATCTGGACGCAGAGGAGCGACTCGAGCAGAAAAACACTGCGGCCGCCAAGAAACGGGCTGCCCCTATCCGAGGCGACTCTAGGCGCAACTCAAAGGCTGACATGCCTGCGGTTATCTCTACGCGCAAGTCTAGCCGTGTCCGCAAAGTGTCAACGAAGCTCGCGGGCTCCGAAGGAAGTGCACTGGATACGACTCTTCCCATCGTCGAACTCGTCGCGCAAGTGGAGGCGGACAACAGCCTCCCAGATTATTTCACGGATGCCGTGAAGTTCATGGGGTCTCGAGGCTACGGTTGTCACGGCGAATTTCTGGAAATGCTGAAGGCCTTCGTCGTCTTTGAAAACAAATTTCAGTTCATCGAACGGAAGGTGAATATCGTTGCATAGCTCAATCCACGGTCCTCATTTATGATTCTAGACTCGTACTAAGGTGGCAAACCGACCTGGTATCATCAAAACATGGATGACCGGTGAAAATCGTGAGTTCGATGAGATGAAATCTGACAACCCTGTACAAGATACGGTCGGATGGTTCCTTTGGTGGGCGACCCTTCAGCCAAAGTGGCATCAAGCCGCGATGCCTCATTCCCGCACTCCCCCGCCGGATGCTCGGGGATTTCCCGAGCTGAAGAACGGTCGACTTGGCGTCGTCACGGTCGTTGCTTCGCTCGTGTGCCTTTACTTCTCCACCGAGGAGCCAGCGCTCCGTCAGAAGCTTGCCGAAGGTGCTAGTGACGTATGCTGGGCGCTGACGGTAGCTGCAACTGGTGTTACTGCAAACGAAGACGAGGAAGACCAGCCTGCACGCAAGTAAGTGCACGCTGTCGTTTCAATTCCCTGCAAAATGCTTAGTAATGTTACCGTTAGGCGCCCCCGCCTGTAGTGACACGGCTGTTCGGTCATTCAACATACCTTATCGCACTACCAGCCTACCCTTTCATCGTTGCCATCATAGTTTATCCTTTTCTTGGTAGGATAGGGCTTAATCTTTACGTTGCGCGGACACACGAATATTTCGTAGGAAATAGCATATTCGTGGTAATATCATGGTTACGGACATATGTGCACACATAATGTTGCGAGCTTACTACCCCTGAGCCAGAGTCGTATACGAACTTGGTGTGAGGTTACATTACATCCGATGAAATGCAGTATCATATTAACAGGACTTGGCTGATTGCCAACCCACCGATTGACCAAGAGTTCATAACGAAGCAGGTCGATAAACGATAGAACGTGCTGCAATTTGTTGTTGAGATGACGACAGCATACAATCGCATCGGACTGTTGCTTGGGTATCTTTCCAAGGTCGGGATCGAGCGGAACATCTGACGTACTAGCGTATCAGCTGGAATTTGTTGCGAAGACGGTGCAGAGTGCTGGTTAGGATGTTGCTCGGGTATCTGTCCGAGGTCGGAATCGAGAGCGTGGTCTGGCCTCTTCATGCATCAGCTGGAGTTTGTGAGGAAGGGGCGTAGGTGTGCAGGTGTCCACGGCTTGCGACCTGCTTTTGAGGCCGCTGGAGTATCTGGTAGAGGTCGGGATCGAGGGCATGGTATACCCTGTTCGTGCATTATCTGGAGTTTATCGTGAACAGGGTGTGGAATGGTGATCGTTCACGGCAGGAAACTTACTTGGAATATTGCTTGAATATCTTGCAAAGGCTGGGATCGAGCGCGTGATCCGGCCTAGTCGTGTGCCAGCTGGAGTTTGTGGGGAAGAGGCGGCGTAGGCGTGCCGATGTTCACGGCGTACAACCTTCTCTGTATGCTGCCGGAGTATCTCGCAAAGGTCGGGATCAAGCGCATGGTATACCCTGTTCGTGCATTAGCTGGAGTTTATCACGAACAGGGCATGGAATGCCGATGTTCACGGCGTACGACCTTCTCTGAATGCTGCAGGAGTATCTTGCAAAGATTGGGATTGAGCGCGTGATCCGGCCGAGTCGTACGCCAGCTGGGGTTTATGGGGAAGACGGGGCGTAGGCGTGCCGATGTTCACGGCATACAACCTTCTCTGTATGCTGCTGGAGTATCTCGCAAAGGTCGGGATCGAGCGCATGGTATACCCTGTTCGTGCATTAGCTGGAGTTTATCAG